TGGAGTGGAGTCCTGGGGGGCAGTTAGGGTCAGGGGACCCCAGAGGGGGCAGTGAGGGGACAAGGAACGGGGGGAGGGTTGGGGGTTCTGGGGGAGCGGGAAGTGGGAGGGGCGGGGCTAGGGCGGGGCTCCTCCCGTCCTCTTTTTTGCTTGCTGAAATATGGTAACCCTATACATGCATTACCCCATTGATGCAATACTTGGTCAGTATTTCAAGTAACACCCTGCCACTGCATGTTCCATGCATTGCCCCAGTGGGCGATATTGTGCATAACACTCTGTAATTGCTTATTTCATGCATTGTTCCAACTGTGCATTATTCCATGCATCTCTCTGTCTGTTCCTAGTACATGTATCTCCCTGTCACTGCATATCACATGCATTGCATTGGTGGCGCAATATTCCATGCATCATTCTGGGGGTTCACATTGCGTATAACGCCCTGCTGTTGCATATTGCATGCATTGTCTTGGCAGTGCAGCATTGCAAGCCCCACCCCCACCGGTGCAGCCATGGCAATGCTTCTATTCTAATCCTGCTAGCAATCTCTATATGTGCCCAGCAGTTGTCCCGCAGGTGCACTGCCCTGTCCCGCACTGCGTGTGCAAACCGAACAGCAGGCAGGGCATTACTTCCACCCCCTCGTGCTGTAATAACCCCCGTGTAATGCAGTAATTACATCCACAGCTCTAATAAGCAGCATGAGGCACCATAATAGCTGGGACGCAGCAGCCCATCCTCCCATGTGCTGTTAAGCGCTGGTTAGCACTGGAACCCTTGAGCGCTGCACCAGCCCCCCAACTGCAAGGGCAGCAGAGGCTGCACATATGTATTTGGTGGCTCTCAGCTTTCTGAGGGGGCCCAGGGCTGGGAGGCAGGCGTCTCTGCCAGGACTGCTTCCAAGGTGTGACAGGACAGAGGGATCCAAATTTCAGAACCACGTGGGCCAAGAAATTAGCATTGGGCAGGAGAGAAAAAATAATCCCACACCAGACTGGGTTAAAACCATCTGGGATCCAACATGGTAGGATGGGTCCATGCTAAGCTCCTGCAGGAAGTTAGTGGCAGAGCTGGGCATAGAACCCAGGAGTCCTGACTCCCAGCCCCCCGTCTCTAGCCACTAGGCACCACTCCATCCCCAGAGCTGGGATAGAAGGTCTTGGGGCTGGTGCTCACTGGCACAGATGCACATTTTGCAGTGGCTAGTCAGGGATTCATTCAGTCTGAGCCCTTCCCACCTAGCCTCTGGTGCTCTGGGCCAGTGAGCAGTCCCTGCCTGGCATGCTAGCTGTGTGCCCCAGCTGGTGTCAAGGGCTGGGCCCAACATCCCATCCTGTTTGAATCCGGGACATTATGTGCCCAGGGATCTCGATCACTTATTTCAAGATCTTTATTTCCCCATGGCAGGTCCAGTCCAGAGGGAACAACTGGCTGTGACTGACTGACTACTGAAAACACACAATGTCCGCACACAGAGATAACTGAAATATATACACACAGTCCCAGACAAACACGCACACTCCCAGAGATAACAGAAATACACACCGTCCCAGACACGCCTGCACGCAGAGATAGAAAAGCACACAGTCACAGACAGGCACAGACAAGCACACACCCCAAGAGATGATCAGACACACACTCCCAGACAAACACCAACAGATGCTAGCACAGAGAAACATACGCATGCACGTGACCAGAGTGGGAGAGCCAGACCCCCCACCCCATACCCTAAGGCTGAGGTGCTGGGTGGAAGCCAGTGGCTCCCAGCCCATGCGCAGTGCCGTGCCTGGCTCTGGGGCTGGATCCATTCCCACTCTGCTGCAGACAGGCCTTCATCGTTAGCGTATTGACGACGCAAACGAGCTTAGGGCTGAAATTTCAATCGATGGCTCCCGGAACTGGATTAAAGGGGCTTTGATTACTCTGCAGCCCAAGTGAATTAGCCAGAGAGGGGCAGACGCTATCAGGGGATTAAAGAATCAGGGCTAGGGAGAAAAACAGGACTCCTGGGTTCTATCCCCAGCTCTAGGAAGGGAGGGGCGTCTAGTGGTTAGAGCAGAAGGGCTGGATGTCACGTTCTATGCCCGTCTTGGGGAGGACTTTCTCCTCTCACTTTAGCCTGGCGTAAGGGAGCGAGGACTCTGGTCCCAGGTCTGAGCCACGGGGGTGATTGTGTCTGGCACAGGCTGCTGGGAATGGACCTCCCAAGCAGCTGGCTAACAAATCCCATTCCTCCCAGCAAGACTTGGAGTCACAGCAGACGCTTCCCCAAGGCTGTCCTCATGCAGCCACTCAGGGCTTGGAGGGGAGACCTTGAAGGAAGCAGCCATGGTGGGAGGTCATGGGGGGGGCTAAGCCAGGGTTGCTCTCCCCTCAGACTCACACTACAGGGCACTGTGGTGCAGGGAGGTGGCGCTCTCCCCACACAGTCATTGCTAACCCCAGGGCTGCACTAGGGGGCACTGTGCTGCCAGGAGTGGGCTAGGAATTCAGTAGGGGGCATGGTGCTGCAGGGAGCAGGGCAGACCCTCAGTAATGGAGGCTGTGCTGCAAGGAGTGGGGCTGTAGGGGGCACTGTGCTCGAGGAGTGAGGTAGGGCTCAATAGGGGGGAACCGTGCTGTATGGAGCTGCTGGAGGTCATTAACAGGTGCTGTGCTGCAGAGAGTGGGAGCTTGAGGGGCACTGTGGGGCTGGAACATAAGAACATAAAAACAGCCATACTGGGTCAGACTGAAAGACCATCTAGCCCAGTAGCCTGTCTTCCAACAGTGGCCAATGCCAGGTGCCCCAGAGGGAATGAACAGAACAGGGAATCATCCAGTGATCCATCCCTTGTCACTCGGTCCCAGCTTCTGGCAAACAGAGACTTGGGACACCATCCCTACCCATCCTGGCTAATAGCCATTGATGGACCTATCCTCCAGGAATTCATCTAGTTCTTTTTTGAACCCTGTTATGGTTTTGGCCTTCACAACATCCTCTGGCAAAGAGTTCCACAAACTGACTGTGCTTTGTGTGAAGAAATACTTCCTTTTGTTTGTTTTAAACCTGCTGCCTATTAATTTCATTTGGTGGCCCCTAGTTCTTGTGTTATGAGAAGGCGTAAATAATATTTCCCTATTCATTTTCTGCACACCAGTCATGATTTTAGAGATCTCAACTATATCCCCCCTTAGTCGTCTCTTTTCCAAGCTGAAAACTCCCAGTCTTATTAATCTGTCTCCGGAGATGGCAGCCGTTCCATACCCCTTTTCTGAACCTTCTCTGAAGCGGCGCTGTGCTGCAGGGAGTGAGGTGGAGGATTAGAGGGGCACTGTGGGGTGGGGAGCTGGAGAGGTGCTGTGGAGCTGGAGGGGCGCTGTGCTGCTGGGAGTGGGCCAGGGGGCTGGAGGGACGATGTGCTGCTGGGAGTGGGCTGGGAGGCTGGTGGGACACTGTGCTGCTGGGAGTGGGATGCAGTTTAATAGGGGGCGCTGTCATGGTGGTGGTCCATCTTTCCAATGAAATACCAAGCCAAGCTCTTTCAAACTTGTGCTCAGGGAAGGTACCTTGGTCCTGCCCCCAGGCCAGGGGACCTTAATTCTGGTCTCTGGCCAAATTCCCACTCACATGATTCCATTTGGCCTCCCCACAATCAGCCAGGAGATTCTCCCTTACTTCTGTCTCAGACTCTGCAGAATCGCTGTGTGACGTTTGAACAGCCCTGGTGCCTCAGCCCAGACGCAGCTGCTTCTCAGCCCTGGGTGGGCCTCCTTCTGGCCTTGAAAAGCCATGCCTGAGAAATGATACGGGTGCCATGTGGGAGGGAGAATCATTGCAGGGGGCAGGGGAGAGGGGGTAATGCCTGCCTGCTCAAAGCACTAGATCTCACCCCTGCTCCTGGAGCTTGGATAGAACCCAGGAGTCCTGACTCCCTTCCCAGAACTGAGGATAGAACCCAGGAGTCCTGGCTCTCAGCTCCCACCCTCACCCCCTTCTCTGATGTCTCTCCTCCCCCTCTAGGACCAAGGCACCATCGGGGTCATCTTCAACGTGGGCACGGATGACATCACCATCGAGGAGACCAATGCCATGGTGAACGACGGCAAGTACCACGTGGTGCGCTTCACCAGGAGCGGGGGCAATGCCACGCTGCAGGTGGACAACTGGCCCGTCAACGAGCGCTACCCAGCAGGTAAGGCTGGGAGCCGGCCCTGCCGCCCACCCCGCCCCAATGCCCGGCCTGTGTGCCCTGTCAGCGGTGGAGGTCGCAACCAGCCCTCATCCCTGCCCGGCCCTGCAAAGGATTCTGGGTAACACTGCCACCCATCGGAATCAGCCCTGATCTGTGCCCATCCCCCCTGCAAAGGATCCTGGGTAAAGTCACCACCCACCTTGGAACTAGAGAGAGACTCTTGGGCATTATAGGGCATCCAGCGTTCAGTGGTGGGAGAAGGCAGATACACCAGGGAAGTCGTTTCCTAGCAGGGGCAGACTGAGGGGGACAGTCTGTAGCTGGGGGGCGTGGAATCTGGGGAGGTGCCCAGGAGGGGGGGGCAGTTCCTAGTGGAGGGGGGGGTGAGGTGCCAGTGGGTTGGAGATTTCTAGCGAGGGAGAGGATCAGAGGTGCTTGGGGGGAAATCTGAGGTGCTTGTAGGGGAGCAGGAGGCAGTTCCTCACTGGGAACAGGTATAAGGTGCCTATTGTGGGGGAGGCAGTAGATCTGAAATTCCCTTTCTCAAGGCCCTGGAGGCAGTGGCATCAGCCCTGCTTCCTGCCCTGGGAGAATTCCCCCCAGCCCTTAGCAGTATAGGCCCTAAGACACACACACTCTGGGCTCTGCCCTCTGGTTCTGCTCCAGCAGTTGCAGAGTTGGGGAGTCAGAGGAAGTTACAGGGAAAGATCAGGGGTTACAAGTTGGTTCCGGCCTCCACTGAGCTCCTTCAGCCCCTGGAAATGTCAGGGGGATGGGGAGATGATGCCACATTTGTATTTGAAACCCCCATGGCTTTTCTGTGTCCTGAGTGGGCAGATTCCTGCCACCCCCCATCATCTCTGGCTGCATCACACACAAACCAGCACCTCAAGAGCCAGCCAGGCAAGCTTAACAGGGATCAGGCTCCTGGGAAGGAGCAGGGGATTTGTTCCCCTCGCACCTGGACTGCCAAACTGCCAATTGTTCCCTGTGTCAGCTGGCATCCCTGCCTGGCGCAGAGAATCTGAGCTAGTTCCCAAGGACAGAGCGTCATGAGTGGTCCTGGCCACCACCGCTCACAAATCCATTCAGGGCTGGAGATGAATGTACACACACACCCATGCTCTCTCGCACATGCACACGCATGTGAGCACGGACACACACACACACACACAAAGCCAGAAATGTGAATGCAAATCTGCACAACCACACACAGGTATGCAAAGACACACCCAAGCATGCACACAAGTTCGTGCACAAACACAGGTATGCAAAGACAGATGTACACAGACACTACAGGTCTCCAAACACACACACGTGTACACGTAGGCAGTTGCCCAGAGCCATCCCCACAACACACAGCAGCAGAGAACTGCACGTGGAATAGGCCCCAGCACTGGGACAGATGCCTCACGCACACTGACACTCGTCATACACATTTGTGCACATAGGTATCTCCCACAACTACACACTGGCGTGCGCTCCTTCTGCCTAACAGAGCGGGGATGCCACCCTGGACTAGCCACTCCCCAACGCTCATCGGGCCATGCTTGGCAGGCAGAATTGTGGGTAATCATAAGGGGCGTGGCGTGGGTAATCATCAGGGGCATGTCATGCACATGCTGGATTGTCCCTGACACACTAGCAATTTCTAGCAGCAGGAGGCCGGCAGTGATATGCAGTGAGACATGTCCCGCCTGCCACGATCATGCCCCCTTCCCTGGTCTCCCTGCCTACCTCACCCCCGGGCTGCCTCTTCCCAGCCAGTCCCATGTCAAGCCCCTCCCAGGAGAGCAGCCAGATAGCACACACACCAGTAACTTGCACATTCAGGCACACCCCCTGCACACTGGTGTCTTCCACACTTATGTGCGCACCTGGAGACACCTTGCACGCTCCCCTCACACGCTGTGCACACTCCATACATGCACTCATAAGATTCCACCCCACACAACTGTTCAATCTCCTTCCCCATCTCAGTGTGCTCTCTCGCTGTCCTTCCATCGACCCCCCTCCACAGTCCTGCATCCATCCCCGTGCACACCATCTTCTCCCCCACGTACCCCTCCATCCATCCCCATTCACTCCCCTCCACCCATCCCCATCCACACCATCTCCTCCATCCATCTCCTTCCACACCCCTCCACCATCCCCATCCACACCATCTTCTCCCCCACGTACCCCTCCATCCATCCCCATCCACACCGTCTTCTCCTCCATCCATCCCCATCCACACCATCTTCTCTCCCATGTACCCATTCATCCCCATCCACACCCCTCCATCCATTCCCATCCACACTGTCTTCTCCTCCACCCATCTCCTTCCACACCCCTCCATCCATGCCCATCCACACAATCTTCTCCCCCACGTACCCCTCCATCCATCCATCCCCATCCGCACCTTCTTCTCTCCCACATACCCCTCCATCCATCCCCATCCACACTGTCTTCTCCTCATCCATCCCCATTCACACCATCTTCTCCCCCATGTACCCCTCCATCCATCCCCATCTGCACCCCTCCATCCGTCCCCATCCGCACCTTCTTCTCCCCCGCGTACCCCTCCATCCATCCCCATTCACTGCCCTCCATCCATCCCCATCTGCACCCCTCCATCCGTCCCCATCCGCACCTTCTTCTCCCCCACGTACCCCTCCATCCATCTCCTTCCACACCCCTCCATATGTCCCCATCCACCCATCTTCTCTCCCACGTACCCCTCCATCCATCCCCCTTCACTGCCCTCCATCCATTCCCATCCGCACCCCTCCATCCATCTGCACCATCTTCTCCCCCAAGTACACCTCCATCCATCCCTGTCCGCAGCCCTGCGTCCATCCCCATCCGCACCATCTTCTCCCCCACGTAGTCCTCCATCCATCCCCTTCCGCAGAACCTCCCCCCATCCCCATCCCCTACTCTCCATCCATCCCCATCCATATTGTCTTCTCCATCCATCCCCATCTGCACCCCTCCATCCATCTCCATCGGCATCATCTTCTCTTCCACGTCCCCCACAGTCCATCCCCATCCACTGTCCTCCATCCATCGCTATCCGCAGCCCTCCATCCATTGCCATCCCTGCATCCATCCCCATCCACTGCCCTCCATCCATCCCCATCTGCACCATCTTCTCCCCCATGTATTTCTCCATCCATCCCCATCCACTGCCCTCCATCCATCCCCATCATCTTCTCCCCACACACATGCCTCCATCCTGCCATCCATCTCCATTTGCCCTCTCCATTCATCCATTCATCCCCATCAGCAGCTCTCCCTCCATCGCCATCCATACCATCTTCTCCCCCACGTACCCCTCCATCCATCTCCCATTCACACCGTCTTCTCCTCCACCCATCCCCATCCACACACCTCCATCCATCCCCATCCACGCTGTCTTCTCCCCCATGTACCCCTCCATCCATTCCCATCCACACCCCTCCATCCATCCCCATCCACACCGTCTTCTCCTCCATCCATCCTTACATGGCACCCATCACCGAAGCATCTGGGTATCTCTTCCTGTTAATGCCTTCTCTTCCCTCCCTCCCTCACCCCACCGCCCGCCCAAGCCACCAGTCACGGACTGTCTGTATCCCCAAGGCCTCTTTGGGGGAAATGTCAATGGACATCAAAATATCAGAGCCGGTTTTTCTGCCTGGCTGTGCTGTGCCATGCCACTCAGCTGGGTGCCCTGCGGTGGGGGGGGGGGGGGCTGGTTTCAGAGCCCCTGGACCTATGTGGCCCATACAGAAGCTGGCACTGGGTGTGTGTGTGTGATGTAATGACCCTGAACTGCTAGCTAGAGAATAGCCCAGAGAATGGTAAAGGCTGTTGGGGGTTGGGTTCAGGAATCCGGGCTCCCTCCACTCCCAGCACCTGGAGCTCAACAGCATTGCGATACACATATGTATAGTTTGTATGTACACCAACACCCCCATGATTACACCAGCCCCAGGCATGTCTTGATATGTAGAGAGTGACGCACACATATGTAGTTTGTATGTACACAGGCATGACCTGATATATAGACAGGACATGTGATGCACATACCTGCAATTCCCATGTACACCAGCACTCTCCCGTTTAGCAAGCCCACATGCATGTGGCTCCAATGGCAATCCCCCCAGCCTGCCGGAGTGCTGGCTGCTGATGAGCGACCCAGGTCACTTCCCAGGGATGGTGTGGTTTTAATTAAAGATGTTAATCGCCTCGTTAATACAGGCGCTAATGAGAGCATAAAAAGTCCCCGATCGCTCCTAATTAGGGGGCCAAATGGCATCCTGAATAGAGAGGTGAAGGTGGGGAGACCTCAGAGGAGAGAGCTCACAGGAGGAGTTTCTGCATCCCTTCCCCTCGCAGAGAGGAACCCAGGTTCTCCAACCACTAGACTCCACCCCTCTCCCGGAGCTGGGGAGAGAACCCAGGAGTCCTGGCTCCCACCGATTTCTACAGGCTCCCCACTTTAGTACCTCCCACACATCCTCCAGTGTTTAACAGCCTGTTCCTTCCTCCCCACTCTGACACGTCACCCAGTACAGCCAGTGCACAACAGGAGCCTAGCAGGGCTGCTCCACCCAACCTAACCCCACCCCACCCCCAGCAGCTTCCTCATTACTAAAGGGTTGTTACCTCTGTGCACAGGCACGGCAGGGGGTTGTCACTGTGACCACCATGTCTCTGCCAGATAATTAGCTGTCCAGCCAGTGCTGCCTCTCCTCCTCCCCCAAACACAGAGGAACAGCCCGAGCATCTCTGCCATCTCACTCACACCAGGAAAGGTGCCTTTGGGGGTATGGTGCTGGAACTCAGGAGACCTGGGTTCCACTCCACTACAGATCCCCTGTGTGATCTTAAGCAAGTCAAACAAGACCAGATTTTCCAGAGAGCCCAGGACTCCTGGTTTCCATTCCAGCCTCCACCACAGACTCCCTGGGTGATCTGGGGCAAATCACTGAGGCCCTCACTTGTCATGCACAACTGGGGCCAATTTTCATTGCTGCTTCTGCTGTGGCAATTAATGGCCTGATTTCCCCCAGGGATCAGCTCCCAGCATGCCAACTTCTTTGGAGCTCTGGTGCCCGCTCAGTGCTGAGACCAGAGATCAAACCAGCTGCAGTCTCTACAGATTGAGCTAAAAACCCAAGGCTCCCTTGCTGGACTGTAACAGACTCACAGTCTCTGCAAATCAGGCACAGACCAGTGGCTTACACTGCGCACAGAAAATCTGCCCCATAATTGCTCTGTGCCTCGGTTTCCCCACCTGTACAATTATTTTATTTCATCCCAGTAGTACCTAAAGACCCCGACTGAGATTGGGGCCCCCATTGCGCCAGGTGCTGCACAGACCCAGACTGAGATCAGGGCCCCATTGCACCAGGCACTGCATAGAGCCAGACTGAGATCAGGGCCCCATTGTGCCGGGCAGTGCAGAGAGTCCATCCATTTAACCAGGCACTGCACAGACCCTGACTGAGATCAGGCCCCCATGGCTTCAGGTACTGCACAGACCCTGACCATCACCTCAGATTCTCTCTTGCAAAGGCACCTCCTCCTACCAGCCAAGCCAACAGGGAATCACAATCAGCAGCAAGGGGCAGGTGCATTACCCACAGCTGAGCTCTCCTGTCCCTTGGCCTCATCTATGGTAGTAACACAGCGGCTTCCTTTACTCCGAACCTGTAGTTTGTGTGTGATGCCAGTTCCAGAGCCCAGTCACCCTGGGAATTCGCTAACCAGCTCATTTGTAAAGCATAGAGGACGAGACACGAGGAGCATTTCTATTCCAGTCAAAGGCTTGGCTGAGGTCAGGGGCCCCGTTATTCTGGGTGCTGTACGAACACTGAGCTTCCCCTCTGGTAGCACCTAACAGGCATTTGGGATAGAGGGCCTAACTGCGCTGGGTGCAGCTGCTGCACAAACCCCCTCCCTGCTAATGCAGGCCTGAGAGAGATCCCCTCTCTTCTTCACTGAAACAAAACAGGAAGGCTTGCCCAGCTTCTAGTGCCTTTTGGGAACATTCTTGGATTTTGCCAGCCAGGTTTTCAGAGACAAATGTGAAATGGGATGGGGGCGGGGGGGTGAATGTGACCTTGTTTGTGTGCTTTTTGCAGCGGGGGGAGGGCGCGGGGTAATCGGGCAGAGAAGCTTGGCAAAGGAAGCTAGAAAGGGAAACTGGTGCACAGGAAACGTGTCTTTTCTCCGAGGTGGCAACAGGCCGTGTGTCACTGTGTTTTCGGGATTTGATCTGATTTGGTAGGGACTAAAGGTTGATAAAAGTCAGTTTTAAACCCCAAACTGCACCGGAGCTTTCTCCTCCTAAATGCTGCATAAATCCGTTTAACATCCAGCCGCGCACCTAACACCTAAACTCTACTAAACTGTGTAAATAGCTCTCTGTGCTACCTAAATCGACTAAACCATCAACCAAACCCCCCCCCCCGCCAGTTAATTTTGATCTAACGCTTAACCACTATTTGACCTCTCTAAACATGCTAACCTCTGACCTTTGACCTTCCAGATGGTGTTATATGTCTCTCTCTCTCTCTCTTATTTGATTTTATCTTTATTTTTTTTTCCTTTTAACCGTCTGCAAATCTCTTCTCTAAACTCTTTAAAGGGAACAGTGATAATGAGCGGCTGGCGATTGCTAGGCAGAGAATTCCGTATCGGCTCGGTCGAGTAGTAGATGAGTGGCTACTCGACAAAGGTAATTAACGATAATTAATTGCGGTTAATTAATAAAAAAGATTTAAAGGTGCAGAGCTCTCCCGCAGCCATCCCAACCCTCTCCTCCACCTCCTCTTTAAAAAGCATCTTGTCCTAGGAGCTTAGTTAAAAATTGGTGGTGGGATTTGGATGGTAAAAGAGGGTGGATGCATGATTTCATTGGTCACCGAGAACTTGATATGGCTTGGTTGGTTATGACAGATGCAGCCTATCCTTTCCCCAGCTCTAGGTATCTTGCGTTTGGGTTACAGATTTATGTAACATTATTAGTTTTCTATAGATGAAGGGAGACTGGGGTTAGCCTGATTCACAGCTCCAGCAGGGGGTCAGCAGAACTAGCCTGTGGGACTCACCGCTCCTGGAGGATGTTGGTGGGGTTAGCCTGTGGGACTCACGATTCCTGCAGGGGGTCAGCGAGTTAGCCTGTGGGACTCACGATTCCTGCAGGGGGTCAGCAGAGTTAGCGTGTGGGACTCACTGCTCCTGGAGGAGGTCAGTGGGGTTAGCGTGTGGGACTCACTGCTCCTGGAGGAGGTCAGTGGGGTTAGCCTGTGGGACCAGGGCCGGATCCAGGCACCAGACGAGAAAGCACGTGCCTGGGGCGGCACATTGTAAGGGGCGGCATTCCGGCCAATCTTGGGGCGGCACATTCCGGCCGCTCTGCCGTGGGTTTTTTTTGTTTTGGTTTGGTTTGGTTTTTTTGCTTTGGCAGCCCGGTCCGCAGCGCCGGAGCCCTCGGCCGGCTCCCCACGCTCCGCCAGTCCCAGCCCAGCCCTGCAGGGGCACGGACCCCAGCCCAGGGAGTCAGGAACTAGCAATCCCCGACGCTCACGGTGCCACCAGGCTCCCAGGGACATGCCACTCCCCACTGCCTGCACCGGCCTCTGCCTCCCGCGCCGCTCTGAGACCGGCCCAGCCAAGCTGTCTTTAAAGGAGCGGCTGAGCCAGCACCTCCTGCAGCCCCCGGGGGCTCCGCCTGCCCTCTGGGAGAGGCACCCCAAGGCCGGAGGGGGGAGCCCCTCTCACCCAGCTGCGAGGCACCGCCCTTCACCCCCCTGCGAGCCGCCTTGACCACCTTCCACATGATCCCTGCAGCTGTTGTTTTTTTTTTTTGCTTCGGCAGTCCGGCCGCCCCACCCCTTTTTTTTTGCTTGGGGTGGCAAAAAAGCTAGAGCCCTGTGTGGGACTCACTGCTCCTGGAGGAGGTTGGTGGGGTTAGACTGTGGGATTCTCCACTCCTGGAGGAGGTTGGTGGGGTTAGCCTGTGGGACTCACGATTCCTGCAGAGGGTCAGCGAGTTAGCCTGTGGGACTCACCGCTCCTGGAGGATGTTGGTGGGGTTAGCCTGTGGGACTCACGATTCCTGCAGGGGGTCAGCGAGTTAGCCTGTGGGACTCACCGCTCCTGGAGGAGGTTGGTGGGGTTAGCCTGTGGGACTCACCGCTCCTGGAGGAGGTTGGTGGGGTTAGCCTGTGGGACTCACCGCTCCTGGAGGAGGTTGGTGGGGTTAGCCTGTGGGACTCATTGATACAGATTATTTTAAGCAAACATAACTCTTCAGGATTCCAGGCAGTTGTGAGTTGCAGAAGAATAAATACTGCAGATCAGCAAACAGATGGAGCCTGACTCAGAGAGGATTTGCTATTTCTCCCACAGAATGGTGGGGGTGCAATACGGGGAGGTTCTCAAACCTACAAGGCAGGGGTCGAGAATGACAGATATTAGTGAGAGTTATTTTTCATTGGCTCCTGGAGAACTTGACTGAGATCAGGGCCCTATTGTGCCGGGCGCTGCAGGACACATGCTCCCTCTCCCAAAGACTTACAGTCTAAGTAGGCTAATGGGAATCAGAGGCTCAGAGACTTGCCCACAGTCAGCGACAGAGCCAGAGCCAGGAATAGAACCCAGAATTCCAAGGTCCCACTCTTGTGCCCTACCCACTGGACTACGCCATCTGGCTTGGCTAGAGAGACAGTGAAGGGCATTTTGCTGTTGACTTTAATGGAGCAACAGAAGATACAGCATTTCATCCTGTATCTTCAAACAGCCAGAATCCCTTCCTAGAACTCTGGGAATTTTTTCACCAGCTTTGTAACTGACTCGACTTTTCATAGCACAGGGTCACACCCTGTTCTCTCTCCGGGCTGAGCTCTGTACCTTTAATGCTTAAACTCAGTTGGGGAAAAAGCAAAACAAAAAAAGTAATTTTAAATCTTCTTTTAACCAGCTAATAATATGCTTTTAACACAAACCGAACGCTAAACCAGTCTTGTAATGTATTTTAAACCGATAAATTCAAAATGTCTTTTAATAACCAATTCTTAGCACGTTTTTCTAACTGGGATAAGCATCTAAATGTATCTTTTAATGTCTGTAACTTGATTGTTTAAACAACCAACAACAACAACAAAAATCAGTTAAAGGGACTTTAACAAGTTAATTTATTTAAAACAAAAAGATTTATAGATCTATATTTATATACACCTGGATGAACCAAAAAAATAGCAAAACAAGATTTAACCCTTTGAGTAGTATGGGCTTTTATGTGTTGATTTTCCACTTTGGATGCTAAATTTCTTACCTTCATCTGGATTATATTTGGAATTTTAAACTGATTTTAAAAAGTCTCTCTCTTACCTTGTCCTGTGTCCCTGCCACACACATACACAGACACTCGCAACACATTAAAATGAGATGAACACCCCACCTCAAGAGATCTGAGTCTGGAAGAACTTATCAAGTTTTAAACTCTGACCCTCAGCTGATGTAAATGGATCTATGGTAGTTTACACCAGCTGAGGTACCAGTCCAAGTGGAATGGAAACTTCTGCCAATTCGAGTTGCTTTGTGAGCAAAATTCCCTCTGGTGCAGAAATCCAGCATAAGACTTCTGCTCCACTCAATTGGATTTAAGTGATGCATAAGCAAGGGTGAATTTCACCCTTTAGGACTAAACCACACTTTTTTTTATTATTTTAAAAGCCTTTGGATGGGTTGTTTTTAAAAAGAAATCAGGCAAGAGGGGGTTCATCAGATCTGTGCTTAAATGGACACTGTAGCGTCTAAAGAAAAGATTAAATCTCCCACTTCTGCAGAACATTCTTAACTCTTGCCGGGGGGAGGGGGGAGCTATATTTCTTATATCTGATTTCATCATTGATGCCCTACGGTTAACTTTTTTTTACTTGGCACTTCAATCAATGAAAAGAGACTGGTCAGTTTCAAGCCTGGATCTCTAGTTAGTTTCACAATTGTTTTTAGTGACTTTCACCTTCAGGGCTAGCCCAAGGCTGCAACATTTGGGTTAGGAAAGAGCAACAGTCTCAGCTCACTGGGTTATCTTTTGTTATCTTGGGCCCAATTTTCCTTTCACTTACACCTGTGAAATGCCATTGACTTCATTTGCAGTGATCAGGAATCCTGTGTCCAGTTCTGGTGCCCTCCTTTGACAAGAGATGATGGAAAAAGTGAAGAGGGTACAAAGAAGAGCAGCAAAAATTATATGTGGGCGGAGGAAAAAATGCTGGAGAGTGAGAGATTTTAAGAGCTCAATCTCTTTAGCTGATCCAAAAGAAGAGGAAGAGGTGACTTGGTTATGGTTTACTGGGAGAAAATCCTGGGTACTTTAACCTAGTGGAAAGAGGCAGAACCAATGGCTGGAAATTAAAGCCAGACACATTCCACTGAGAAACAAGATGCACATTTTGTCCAGGGTGGGCAATTAACCATTGGAACAAACAGGCTGCCTCTCTGGAAGATGCTTTAGTCAAACCCAAGTGATTGGGATCTTCGCAGGGTTAGCTTGGCGACATTCTCAGCCTGTGTTAGACAAGGCAGCAGAGATGATCTAATGGTCCCTTCTGGCCTTGAAAGCCATCAATCTATGAAATATTTGTACTGCTGTAGCACCTAAGAGCCCCCAGTCATGGACCAGGATGCCACTGCACTAGGCAGTGTACAAACACACAGCCAAGGGACAGTTCCTGCCTCATAGAGCTCCCAATCTGAATCCAGTGTTTTCAGTTCTTTTCAAAATCCGGCTGCTTATTGTGGTGCCAAAATGCAGTATTGCCAGCTCGGGGCGGGGTCAGAAATCATGAGATTGGCTTAGAAATCATCACTTTTTTAAAAGGAGAAATTTGGGATTCTTCTTTGTTTGCCTTCTGCATTTTGAGTCTCTAGGACTCACATTTTCCAGCTTTTTCCGCCCCCTGCAACAAGGCAGTGTGTCCTACTGGGCAGAGCACTGGACTGGGACTCAGGGTGTCTGGATTCGCCTCCCGGCTCTGCCACTGGCCTGCTGTGCCTCAGTTTCCCCTTCTGTAAAATGGGGATAAGACCCTCCTTTGTAAAACGCTTTGAGATCTGTGGAGGAAAACTAGATAATTTTTTAAAAAAAGTTTTAACACTTCCTGTTTTAAGAGAACAGAAATTCTCACCTAATCCCATGATTCCTGGAGCTGGGGCTTTCAGGAAAAACACCGGATATGATAATATTCCGAGAGTTGTCACAGCTGAGATCTAATCCTCTTTTATACTAGTGTAAGTGAAAAACAAATTGAGCCCACTGTTTGCAGTGGAATCCTTCAAAAATAATAATTATCCCATAAATACTCCAGCAAGTTTTTTTTTTTTTTTTTAGCTTGGGTTTATTTTTAACACCAACGCTGAGCGTTGCAAAGATGCCCGAGGGTGTCGAGACATCCAGATTCCCCTCTAAGCGAATGGGAATCAAGTGTCTCAATCATCTTGGCTGAAAACACCACAGCTGAGAGCTATGTCTCAGGAGGGGATCTAACCAACAGTGTCACTTTAGCCCTTTGATGACTGAGTATAAGAGATTTTGCTCTTGGGGGCGACGTGTGCTGGGGACTGGGTGAATTTGAAAAGGCCATCTCACAAACATAAGGTCCCCAAGGTTCGAAAGCTGCCACAGGAGTTCGGGTGCCTCCTGCATTTACAGATGGTCCCTGCAGCAGG